GCTTAATAATCCTTTCTTCTAAGTTTGAGGAACTTTAGAAAGAACTTGGCAGAATCTCAAGATTGCTTAGGAGCTTGCAAGACCATTAGCCAAAAAATGTGCTTTTCCCTCTAATGAGAGCCTCTATTTATAGGCTTAGGAGAGGAGGATTAATTTTGGAAACTCCAAAATTGACTCCAATTTTCAAGAAACAAGCAATTTACTTCTTAATTTACGAATATGATTTGCATTCAAATGTAAATTTAAATTTGAATTATTCCACTAAATTTTGATAAAAATATCTTTATGGGCCCCACACTTCTAGGTTGATCAAATTGTCAAAATAAGTTCACTTTTCTTTTGGTGTGACCCATAATTTAAAATGGGTTAAGATCCATAATTTTAGTAGGACCCATACCCATTTGAAAATTTTGACCATCTTAATTTTGACCAATCAAAGAAAATTTATTTTCCTTGATTAATCAGACGGTGATAAAGACACATGAAAATTTAAGTGTCTACAAATTGCCCCCACTTCAAGATTCTGGTTTGATGCTTGCTTGCTAGCATTAAAGGTGAGGTTTGAAGTAGTTTGGTCATGTTCATGAGGTAAGAATTTTAATCATGAAACAAATGAAAAAACTAGCCATACAGTGTTTCCAAAAAAACGAAGTGTGGTCCTCTAAATATAATTTAAAGGAGGTTTTTTTTTTTTTTTTTTTTTTTTTTGCTATGCGGGATCTGCCATTTCTCCTTATATAGAAGGTAATAACAAGAGTATTGCTAGGGTTTGTTCAGCCCCAAAACACTCCTCTTGTCTTATTTATAACAAAACCATCATTAGGTCTACACACTGAAACGAAAAGCATTCTCAAAGCCATTTGGCTAAGGCTGTGTGGCAGAGTACTGATTGAGGTGAGAATGTTCTTATGTATCAATGTCCATCCAATAGCTTCTTTATTGATGAGGTCACCATAGTGAATGTCACTATTAAGACTCCATGTTTTGAATGTCTTTTTTTTTTCTTTTTTTCTTTTTTTTTTTTTGTGGCTACCCAAACATGTACAGTAGCCTACACCTATACATATATTAATGCATTATCAAACATGTGTAGTCGCTTACATCTATATATATATATATTGATGCATTGAGAAAATTATATGTATATTGCACGGAACTCGTGCATATTTTTTTTTCATGCAAGTATGTGTAACAAATTGATGGCATATATATTTATGAATCAATTGCATTCGTTTTTTTTTTTTTTTTGGTAGCCTCCTTTGGAAATTGTATTTTATTATTGTCTGTAAGAATAATTGAGTAATGTATGCCACTGCCCTTTCACCATAATTGGTTATTTTGACTTATGTGGAGGGAGAGGAATGCGCCTAACGAGCTAGCCACTTGGATATTGGGCTAGTGAAGTAGACACTTCCACCACCACCCATTCGACCATAGATGAATAGTTTGACTTATGTGGAGGAATGCGCCTATCGAGCTAGCCACTTGGATTTGGATATTGGGCTAGTGAAGTAGACACTTCCACCACCACCCATTTGACCATAGGTGATTAGTTTGACTTATATGGGGGAGTGCGCCTATCAAGCTAGTCGCCTTGATGTTGGGCTAGTGAAGTAGACACTTCCACCTCCACCCATTCAACCATAAGTGATTAGTTTGACTTATGTGGAGGAATGCGCCTATTAAGCTAGTCGCCTTGATGTTGGGCTAGTGAAGTAGACACTTCTACCACCACCCATTCGACCATAGGTGATTAGTTTGACTTATGTGGAGGAATGCGCCTATCGAGCTAGTCGCCTTGATGTTAGGCTGGTGACGTAGACACTTTCACCACCACCCATTTGATCATAGGTGACTAGTTTGACTTATGTGGGGGAATGTGTCTATTAAACTAGCCGCTTGGATATTGGGCTGATGAAGTAGACACTTCCACCACCATCCATTTGACTATAAGTGACTAGTTTGACTTATGTGGGGGAATGCGTCTATCGAACTAGCTGCTCAGATATTGGGCTAATGAAGTAGACATTTCCACCACCACCCATTTGACTATAGGTGATTAGTTTGACTTATGTCATGATCATATGTCATATATGTCTCCACAACATATGCATATATATATATATATATATTCCCCTCATCGTTTAGCTTTTATCACTCAGTGATGGTGCACTTCAAGACTTTCAAGAAATGATACTTGACCATTCTCGAGGACTCTAGTGACACTATTGAAAAGGGGACTACTCTTCTAATTCGCCCTCCTTTCCTTGGTGCTTGGGGCTTGATGGCTCTTTTCATTTAGCACAATGGGCTCGTGAGGCTTCATGTCAATTGGTTGAAGGCCTGTCACACTTTAGGGTTTTATTATTAAAGTTATCTAAATAAGAAGACATTAAGGACAAGAATTTCCTTCTTCTGGTCAGTTGGCCGACAATATGAGGGACAAGAATTTCCTTCTTTTAATCAGTTGCGAATATTATTTCATGTTTGCCATCGACTTTGTAAGGAGTCAAAAACGAATGTGGTGAGGATTACTAGCTAGATAAAATTTTGGTTTAAAGGGGAAGTCAAGTACCATAAATCAACCAAACGGGCTTCGAGGAACAAGACTTAACGCCCTAAGGATACTAACAACCCTTCTGGTATTATTAACATAACTTGGTCTTGAACTGTGCAAGGGGAGAAAGTCTTCAGTGACTTGGGGATTGTTGGTGTAGCAAAGGATGAGACTTATCTATCAGCTTTTCTTGTCTGTTGGTTATGCAAATTTGTTCTACCCCGTGGGGATGACGACTTGATTAGGCTTGGGGTTTTTAAGGTTGCTAGTATGATGGCTCGTAGTCGTTCATTCGGCATTGATATTCTTGTACTTGCTAGCATCTATAAAGGGCTTAATAGAATTGTTTCTTCTTTTGATCTAGGAGAGTGCGACGCCATCTTTCTGATCCATTATGTTTATGATTGGTTAGCAGAGTATTTCAACACACACTTTAGTATTGAATCTTCTCTAAAGCCTCGAATGACGAGATATGCTGGTGAAAGGATGGCCAAACATTTTGAGGATTCAGAGGCCTATAACTTATTTCGATCATGCAAAGATATGACCTTACACCATTTGGCGTATAACGAGGGCAATCCCAAGGAATTGGTTGATGACGCTCATCTTTCTAACTCAGACTTAGAGTATTTCATCAGCATCTGCTTGAGCTACTTGACTTTGCAAAGTTCGTTCGCTATGGTCATTGAGCCATATAGTCCTCACAGGTTTAGCAAGCAATTTGGTTTTATTCAAGCCATCCAGGGTAAACTTAAGGTTGATCTTCGGGATGGTAGTTTACAGAACATTATTCAGCATTAGGATTCTTGTGTTCGTAATGGTACCCATTCTGTATTGAGGCTACCAGCGCATTTTGATTTCCCATCTCGTTCCACTACCAAGGCTTATTTGGAGTGATGGTCCCAACTTTATGTAGGCTATTTCGCCAACAAAGAAAATTCTATCCCAAGGAGCAAACACTCGACTTCACCAAATCAAGAGATGGTTAAAGCGAAGAAAAATACAATTGTTAAGCAAAATTCTAATCCAAGACCAACAAAATGGTTCAAGGAAGTGTTGATGGGACTCTTGGTGGAGTTACAAACGAGAACCATAGTCACGGTGATCATAACTGGCATCACTTAGGGAGAAAATCTAGTACTGGCATCGTTAGAAGGAATACCACTACTTTTAATGGTGCGGAGTCATTTTTTATCGGCGTTCCTAGCACTTCTCAACCATTGGCTACCGATGTTGTACCAGTAATGATAGAATCTATTATTTGTCATTTCAATATTTTTTTTTTGACTCCTCTTTAATTTGTTTTGACAATTGCCAAATGATGACTTTGATTTGGCGTCTAGCAATGAGGATATGAGATTTCTTGATAAGTTCTCAGATAATGAAGAATCAGTTGATGGGCTATCAACCTTTGATTTAATGATTAGTCATAAAAGCTGTCTCTCAGTTGACCCAACTCCAATTGTCCAAACATCTTCCTTACCTATTGTTGCTACACTGAGTCAAGTTGCATCTTCTGTGGCTTCTACCATTGATACAAGAAGCATGATCCTTAACGCTCGCCGCTCAGCAGCTTCAATACTTGATAACCATATTAAAGGGTTATTGATCAAAACTCCTATTCAAAAAGTTCCAGCATTGGGCCCAAAGCTCCAAGAGCTTTATGATAAGCTCTCAAAGCTTCAGATAGACTATTCTCCGTTGCAAAGCCAAATTGAGAAGTACGTACAAAATGCCACTACGTACATCTCTATGAAATCAACATTTGCTCAAGAGATGACTTCAGAGCTACAGGATCAACGTTTGGTGGATGTCAGTCAACGTATTACTCATGCTCTAGTTCTTGAGAATGAAGGAATTGAGCAACCTCACTTGCTGAAGTCCGATTTGGGTAGCCTTGCATCAAAGAAGGCAGAATTGTTAAAGGCGTTGGGACATTTATATGAACAATCACAACAACTAGAGACTACAATTAGTATTGCTGAGTCTGAAGCAATTCAAAGGCGAGCCATTGTTTCCACTTTAAGGGACGAACAAGCTACAATAGAAGCAGCTGAGGTGATAAGAAGCGAGAATATCGAATTTGCCAACAAGTTGGAGCAGTTCTTGAAGGTTGAACAAGGCGAGATCCAGAGTTTATCATGGTTGCCATGATTTATTTATTTATTATCTTTTTTTTATTTCATTTTTATTTTAATGAAATGTAGCTCGAAACCAAATACTTTATTATAAAATAATTGCTCTAGCATACACTTTATTTATGAAATAAATATTATAGTTCGAAGCAAAATACTCTTATTGTAAAGCACATTTGGTTTATTGATTTATTAGCCGTTCACAATTTATACTCATGCGAGCCAAGAGTAGTACATTTTTTTTTTTCCTGAATAACAACTTTATTTCACATGCAGTTTATGCTCATTCGATCAGGAGCATTACATTCTCATGGATAATAGTGCTTTAGGAACTTGCAATTGATTGGACCAACTCTTATACCTTCTTCATCAACAATCTTGTATGCTCCATTAGTGTAGACTTCAGTCACCACGTATGGACCATCCCATTTGGACAAGAACTTATTGCTGATTCGATCGGTAGTGATGATAGGTCTTCGAACAGCGAACACCAATTCTCCAACTTGAAAAGACCGGGGTCTAACCTTCTTATTAAAAGGTCTGGAGAGTCGAGCTTGGTAACACTCAAGTTTTTGTTGTGCTTCCAATCTCTTCTCATCGAATGCTTCTAACTCAGTAAGGCATAATTTTGCATTATTATCATCAGTGAGAGCTTCCTGTATAGTAATCCTTAATGAAGGAATCTGTTGTTCCAAAGGAAGAACCACTTCAACACCATACACAAGGGAGTATGAGAGGACTTCTGTTAGTGTACGATGTGTCGTACGGTATGCCCAGAGTGCTTCTCCAATTCTTTTATGCCAATCCTGCTTTGATTTAGCAACTACCTTTTTCAATAGGTTGTCCAAAGTTTTGTTAAACACCTCTACCAGTCTGTTGGCAGGTGCATTGTACATTGAGGAATTGCGTTGCTTAAATCCAAATTTTTCACAAAGTTTGTCCATTAAACTGTTGTGGAAAGGATTTTTGTTATCTGTGATGATGTAACAAGGTACACCATACCGATAAATAATGTGGGATTTGATGAAGTCAACAACGGTTTCTTTCTTGAATTCTATACGCGGGACGACTTCAGCCCACTTGGAGAAGTAATCTGTGGCGGCCAAGATGTATTAGTGGCCTGTAGAAGACTTGGTCAATGGGCCAACTACATCTAGACCCCATGCATCAAATGGCCAAGAAGCAATTGTCAGGTGTAAAGGTTCTGGTGGTTGATGGACAAAGTTTGCATGAAACTGGCAAGGTTGACACTTTCTTGAGCAGTCTAAGCAATCTTTAACCATCGTAGGCTAATAGTAACCCATCCTTTTTACTCAAAAGTGAAGTTTAGGATTAGACCGATGCGTTCCACATATCCCGGAATGGGCTTCTTCCATGGTTTGTTGAGCTTCATCATCCCCTAGGCAACGAAGAAAAATTCCTTCAAAAGATCACCGGAATAAAGTTTCCTTGTAGTAGATGAATCGAGGAGCTCGACGTCTTATTTCAGTTCTATGGCGAGTATCATCCGGGAGCTTTCTGTGTTCAATGTAGTCTGTAATTGGCATTCTCCAATCATCGACTTCGATGGCTAGTACTGAAATTGCGTTTGTTTCTACAAGGCGACATTCCAACAATTGTGGTAATACCCAAGATCGTCATACAGGGACACTAACTTGTTCACCATCTAACAATGCTAATGTAGTTACTAGATTGGCAAGTGCATCAGCCATGCTATTCTCTTTCCTTGGAACATGTTCAAGTACCACCCCTTCAATTTTTCAATGAGATAAGTTGTATATTGGAAATATGAGACTACGTTGTCTTTCTTGACTTCATAATCCCCCTGGTGCTGATTAATTATTAACTTAGAATCCCCATAGACATCTAAATCAACAATCTTTAGCTCTGTTGTCATTTGTAAACCAATGACTAAGGCCTAGTACTTAGCAACATTGTTTGAGCAATTTTCGCCAAGAATAAATAAGGCAAAATGTGCCTCTGTGGTGAAACAAAAATGACATCTGTTTCTGCCCCTTCCTTCCTTGCAGCCCCATCAAAGAACATCATCCAAAGTTGTAGGACCTCTATGAACAATACATCTTCATCAGGGAATTCCTCAAAAATTTCCTAATCAGCAGAGATAGGATGGTCGGCCAAGAAGTCTACAAGGGCTTGCCTTTTCACTGCTTTTCTTGGCACATAAATTATCTCAAATTCATTAAAGAGGAGAGATCATCTTGCTAAGCGTCCTAAAAGGATGGGCTTAGACATAACATACTTTATTGGGTCGGCTCTTGCAATGAGATGTATTGTATGGGCATGGAAATAATGTCTCAATTTTTGAGAGGTAGAAACAAGTGCCAAACATATTTTCTCAATGGGTGAGTACTTGAGTTCATTTTCAGTTAATCTACAACTCAAGTAATAGAGTGCTCGTTCTTTATTTTCTTTGTTATTTTGGGCTAGCATTGATCCAAGAGACTCTTCTTGAGCAGCAATATAAAGTATCAATGGTTTCCCCTGAATAGGAGCTCCTAATACTGGTGGATGAAGCAAGTATCTCTTAATACTGTTGAAAGCATTTTAACATGCCTGATCCCAAACAAATGGAGCCTCATTTTTCATCAGTCGACTGAAAGGTTAACAACGGCCTGCCAAGTTTACAATGAATCTATGGATATATGCCAAGTGACCTTGGAGGCTTCTAAGTTTCTTTAGATTTTTTGGTGGTGGCATCTTTTCTGTAGCATCGATTTTGGACTTATTAATCTCAATGACTCTATGTCGAACAATAAAGTCGAGGAACTTGCCAGACGTGATTCCAAATGCGCATTTGAGTGGATTCATATTCAAGTCATACTTTCTCATCCGGTTGAAGACTGTACAAAGGTCCTCTAGGTGATTTTCCCTTTTCTTAGTTTTGACCACCAAATCATCAATATAGCACTCAACAAATTTATGGAGCATGTCATTGAAGATCTTTTTCATGGCATATTGATAGGTGACACCGGCATTCTTAAGTCTGAAGGCATCACTTTATAACAATAGATGCCTTTTATGGTACGAAATGCAGTTAACTCTTCATCCTCAGGTGCCATCCATATTTGGTTGTATCCTGAACACCCATCCATGAAAGACAACACCTCATGTCCGGTAGTGGCGTTTATCATTAATTCCATAATAGGAAGCGGAAAGTCATCCTTGGGACATGCTTCATTCAAATTTCGAAAGTTGACACATATTCTAATCTGTTCATTCTTCTTGACTACCAGGACCATACTTGATATCCATGTTGGATATTTTACTTCACATATGAATCCAGCTTTGATCAACTTGTTGACTTCTTTTTCCACTTTAAGGATGCGCTCAGGTCTAATATATCGATGAGCCTGCTTTACTGGTCGCATACCATGTTTGATCCCAAGGTGATGGACAACAACCTTTAGACTTAAACCTGGTATTTCCTTATACGTCCATGCGAAGACATCTTTATATTTAAGGAGCAGTTCAAAAAATATCTTTTCTTCCTCAGGCGTTAAGAGTGTTCCCACAAAGATTGGTCGAGGTTCATCAGGAGTTCCCAAGTTGAGTTCTTTCAAATTGTCAACAGTTGATTGCCCCCCATCTTCAAGTTCT